AAGAAGAATGGGGCTGGAACAAGTTAGATAACCTCCAGCCGTATCTTTCTCATCCATCTATAGCTCCCTGTGCTATGCACAAGCTGTTACCCTTTATGTTTTAACTCCCTGGGGCTCATTCCCAGCTCCTTGCCCTCCCACACCACATTCCTCTCAGCAAGTTCTCTTCCCAGCTTCTGCTTCCCCCAGTCAATTTGCCATTCCAGTCTCCCGTCATAAACAAGTCTGACTTCACCTTCTCCAGCATTTCGACTTTGTTCCTATCCTGCCTCTTTTCTCAATTCTTTGCTCAGCAATCCCAGTTCTTACCTGTTTCTTGTTTATTTTGTCTTTCTCTCCCCCACTCCACCCCCCCCATGTTCCTTGTGCAGCCAGTCACAGCCTCCTTCCAATTTCTCCTAACCATGGTCATGTCAAGGCCAGGTTGGACAGGCCCTTGAGCAACCTGCTTTAGTGGAAGTCGTCCCTGCCCGTGGCAGGGGTTTGGACCTGGATATGCATTAGGGTCCCTTCCAACCCAAACCAGTCTGGGATCAATGTCAGGGGTCCTGTTCCTTCACACTTTATTCTTCAGAGATGCAGATGTGGTGCTTAGGAACATGGTTTAGTGGTGGACCTGGCAGCATTAGATTTACAGCTGGACTCAATCTTAAAGGTCTTTTCCATCATAAATGATTCTATGAGGTTTCAACTATTGCAAGGCAGCAACAGAAGCATCACTGGGAGCACAGGCCAATCCCACAGGAGCTGGAAGCAGCATCTACACAAGCTTCAGCTTGTCCCTACGCACTTCAACTGACACATGATCACCGGACAGGGGAGGATGCAAACAGTCCACCTGGCTCTGGGAGCAGGAAAATGAGAATATTCAATCACAACAGACATCAGGCCACCTCTGACTATGCATCTGCTGCACAGATGGGAACGGACTGCTTAAAAACAGAGGTTTATAATTTGGCCAAGTTTAGTCAGATTATCGGCAGCAGAGCCCTAGCACAAAGGCCACTTGTCACATTTCAAATGCCTAATGAAAAACATGAAGTTATCAGAGCCTGTTAAAGGACATTGTGACATCTTTAACCATGGACAAGCATGTCCATGTCCTGGTCTAACTCCATAAATGGCCAATGGTTCACACCTGAACTTTAAAAACACCAACCCTGGAAAATGACATTCACTGAGACAACCATACCTTGTAACAGCCCACTCCAAACCACAGCAACACCCAAACCTCAAAGCTAAAAGGTCATCTACCGGTCCCTATCACCTCGACTCTCCTCTCCCCCTTACTGAAGAAAGCAACCACAGCAGGCAGGCAATGAAATGCCTGCTTAAACAAACAACAGCACCCGCCACCAATGCTCCCATGGGCTCAGGCTGCAGAAGCACAAAACAAAGATTATCTTAAATTTCAGAATCATCTGCCTGAACTCAGTGCCCCAACTGAACAAGCTCATTGGTTTGCTTATAATATTACCAAGGGAAAAAGCTGAAACAAGTCCAGACCTAGGGCAGTCTTCCAATAATTAAAAATTAAAATTAAAATGTTTTGCTTAATTACTCTTTTTAACACCAGGCTCTTGGACATCTACAACTGAGGGTGTCAGAACTACAGATGCAAAGAACAGGAGCTCGGTTCTATATATATCGAGCACCGAGATTTTCAGTTTCCTGTAACTTTGCTTTTGGGATGCTTTTTAACACAATAAACACAGTTAAATTGTGACTTACAATCTATTACTGTTTACTACAGCAAAAAGTACTATACTAGTACTACAGGTCACTGCTACATAAAATATTATATAATGTTATTTTGACATCCGATTTCATTTTATTTAGTTTCATAAATCAGAGAAGAAAAATCAGCAATACTTCTTCCCTTTAGGGAATTCTTGCATTTACTCATTTACTCTGTTGTTGTTATTATTATTAGTAGTAGTGAATGAAATTGAGCTCTGTGTGGTTACAGGGACTTAACTGCAGTAAGCCAACTGCAGGAATGGGACCTATGGTTCTGATTGTATTTTCCAGGCAGTTAAGGGAAAAAAATGCTTCAGCAGTCAGGAGTTTCTGTGGTTTTCTGAGCTCTTTACCAATCAGTATAATCACAAGATTTATAAAACTGTGCTTACTAAAATTAAACTTTAAAATCAATAAATAAATGTGGGTTGAATGCCACAAAGGAAAATAGCCCATAAATGGACTGTACAGTCATGCTTCTCATAAGAACAGTATGCAGGATACACAGCAGCAGAGAGAAAAACAGGTTGATCTAAAATACATCAAGCCTTTTTTTTCTTCACAGTTTAACCAAGTGATGGGGAGAAAAATAAATCCTACTGTAATTGCTAAAATCTGATAAATATTTGCAGGGAGCAAGAGTTTCATTCCAGTTTTGTCACTGATGCTAGATGCTCACATTTTACAGAAATAACTGCACAATCTTCCCAACTCCCTTCATTCTGCTGCCCTGTAATATGCTCTCAGCCTTTACGAGATACGGAGTTAATGTTTAAGACAGTACGAGACTGATTTCTTTCCTTATACTGTCCTTTTTGAATAGTAACTTGGTCATTCATTCCTGGAAACATTCATTTAAATAATCCAAAAAGACTGGTGACAGGAAGTGATTTATCAGTGTGATTTTTAATCCTTTTCTCTCAATGTAAGGCATTAACTACACTTACTCCCCACCATGGGACCTCACTACCTCATATGTAGGAACTCACTAGCCATATAGCCATTCCCCAACAGTTCACAATCTATGAACGTTTGTATTTTGACATCCACATCCTTCTGTAAAGTTGAGGAATGGTGTAGATACAGTGATCAAGAAGGTAACTTTATATAATTTTAATATTATGTGGTTTTTTTTCTATAAATAGGGAATCCTTTCTGTAAGGAATAATTAGGAGTTGGTATCACAGTCATCAACTCTTCTCTATCATAGTTTATGAGGTGACTTTCAGAGTGCAGTTTAAGATCTGAACAACGGGAGATCTCCTTCACTGCATCCAATCCACCTGCATGACATAAAGCATAAGAGCACGGAGCAAGAAAAAGCCTTCAAATTCAATAAAAGAAGCACTACAAGGGTGGAAAAGAAAACTGCTTTGCCTCCAAGTTTGCTCTCTCCTTTGGCAGGAAGGCATTTCAGGTAATGGAGAAAAGTCTAAGAGGAAGAATAGTAAGAAGAGCGGAAGGCAGGAAGAAGAATTCAGGCTATGCTACATCTATCCTCTGCAGCGTCATAGCACTCCATCCATGCACGTTTCTATTTTCACAGCTATTTTCTCCAGTAGGGCTAACAGATGTTCACATAGACAATCCTGAAGGCCCATTACTTCACACTCACTTCTCACCTACTTAAGAAGCAGAACCAGCAAAGCTCTGGCTGTATTAATGGTATTACTGAATGGGTGCTTCTCACCAGGTACTATGGAGTGGGAAAACACAATCGCAGAGTAAAAGAAAGCAGCAGTTAGTAAAACCTGAAGTAAAATCTAAGATTAAATTGAGAAAAAAACTAGAAGAAGCAAAGGCATGACTGAAAAAAACCGCATGAAAACAGCGCACAGGAAAAGGAACAAGGTGGGGTTTGGTTTTGTTTTTATTTAAAATGGAAGTAGTAAACCAATACCCACATGGCACAGAAAATGCTACAAATACTGGCAGGGTTAGGTGCAAAGGCACGAACAAACTGGAGAAAGTGATTTATGTTTTCATTCAACATCTGGATTCTCATTAACAAATTTCAGGGAAATCTTCCACTTCTACTTATCCAGTAAGGAATTTATTGAAAGACCATGTGTGGAGCCTTTAAAAGAAATGGAGAATGAAGGGACTGAGGCAGTGCGTCTGCTGGACTCTAATGCTCAACAAGCTCAATTTAGAAAATAAGTTAAATGACTTAGTGATACAGAACCCCAAAATACACATCATATATGTAACATGGTGCAGATGTATAGGTTCAAGGCACATGAAATTGAGGCAGAAGAAAGCTCCAGGAAAACGCTGTTTCAGTTATCTGTATGGTTACTACAGGTGCTCCTCCTAAAAACTGCTTCCTAAAAGGTACTCCCAGGAAATTAAATATAAACATAATCTCTTCTTGCTTTCTCCATACAAAGCTATAGGAAATAATCTGAAATTTCCAAGAGTAAATACTGGAAGTAAATATTGTAAATGCCAGTTCCCTCTAAAACAGGCTGGAAATTTACCTGAGAGAAGAGTTCTGATTAGATACCTTGACACCTGCTTCCAGCTTTTTGTATTTCATTAGTATCACATAACCCCAGACAAGAATTTCCATGTCCCAGTCGAAAAATCAAATAAAAATCAGCGCAGACACACCTTCAGCATTATTGTAGCTTTAGAAGCTGGGAAACTAGAACGTCATTGTCCAAGCACAGATGGTTGAGGCCCATCAAAACGAGTAAAATTTGGATAATTTTATATGTTCAACATAGACTAGATATTAATCTAGCAGAAAGACACAAAAAGAAATGCCAAGCAAGGAAGAAACCTTCAGTCTGGAAAATAAAACTCCAACTAAAAGCTCCTCCCAGCTGCATCAAACTGGTTAAGCAAAGTTTTTCAAGAGAAATAAGAAAGGTTTTCTGTGTTTTTTTCTCTCACTTAGCCCCTCTACTTTCATGGCAAAGACTCAGCATCTTTGAGACAGCTGCCTGACTATTATTACATTAATTTGTAACAGGAAACACAAGAAAAGACAGAAAAAGAGGTACATGCAGCACCTCCTCTACAAGAGGGAATGAGTTTGTTCATCTGGAAAGTTTTGAAATGATTCTTCTAACTTCGGGCTAGTCCTCATGAAAGAAATATGTATATGTCATCAAATTTGGATGAACACATACAGCCTCTGCTGAGGAAACACATATACCAATATATCTTTATAAAAATGAAGATTTAAACCATTTTTACAGCTGAAGAATTATTTACCAAAAGAACAACTCACCACTTCATGGATGGATCGGTTGAAGCCATCATCCTCTGTAAGGATCAGCAGAATGATAAGAGCCATGTAAACATGGTGTGAATTCCTTTCTTCAACATGATACAGAATTTCAAGAATTGGCAGGACCTTTATGGAAGAAAAAAATGTGTGTATTAGTTTAGTCTTCAAATACCTCACACAATAAAAAGAGGAGACTCTAAACCTCCCGTGTATTACCCTGCCCTTAACAACATCATAGCAATTCCTCCTTCTTGAAATAACCACCCCCAAATAGTGACGTGCAATGTTCAAACACCTTCCATCTGTTTCATTCTGTCTCCACAAAAGAGTCTAAACAAATTCTTTCTTGTGGTCAGACACGGAATTTCAATTCCTAATAAATGAGATTTCCAGCCATACCAGTTACCATGGGTTCTGAAAGCTTTAGTTCCCCTGTAGACCATGTGGAAAATAAAATTATTAAACAAGATTTCCACCAGTTGAAGGAGGAAAACAATTGTCTCTAACCATCTGTGCTCCCACAAGCCTGGTCTGAAGACCCTCCTCGTCACATATAGCAAAGCACAATGGAGCTAAGGTGCACAGAGACATTCTCAGACCTGAAACTCAAACTCACTTTGTTGCGTGGAGATAATCCCAGAAAAGAACCCGTTTGGGTTGGATTAAGACTAGAAAAGGCCTGTTTTTCTAATTCTAGATAATACGCAGCCAAAGAGAACTGACATTATGATGTGAGTTCAGCCCAAGGTCTTGCAACATTTCCACCAGGATGAACGGCTTAAGCCAAAGACTTGCAATAATAACGAAAATGAGATTTCATTGCAACAGCAAGCATACCTGAACGTTAGTCTAAAGTTAATCCAGATGCAAACGTTGTCTCTCTACCAACTGAAAATTAGCTTTCCACTGGCTTAGTACAATGTGGCTTCCCTGGGCTGTATAAATAGGCCTAAATCACTAAACACCCTGGGAAAAGGAACTGGAGAAAACTCTCAATTCCAAGATAGCGGATGAGATGCAGAATTTGTTCCAAAAAGCTTCCAGACACCTAAAGACTTGCTGTTTCTCAAAACAGGCCTAGTAAAGCAGGGTGAATCATGTTAAACCTATTCTGGTGAACAGCCAGGACACTGAGTCCTTCACAAGCCTCTGAAGTTACCAGAATGTTCTCTTACAGTCAACCAGTCCCCAAACAGTTGGAACATATTAAAACACACAACAGCTTTTATTAAAACCAATGAGATTGATCTAAATGCTGCAGGCCACAAAACCTTTTGACAGATGCTTTGGACAGGGTCAACACAATACCACAACAAAAGCAGAGGGAAAGAAATATTTACACACTGCAATCATCCTTCCATTTCAAAGGATCCTTCACAAACTTCTCTCTCTAGATGAAACCAGAGTTGATGTCTTTGTATTTTGTGAATATAGGTCTTGAAAGTAAAGATGTTTTCCCTGGAATATCTACTTAGCATATACAGCAAAAAATATCAGTCCTTTTTCATGGACAGGGGAAAAAGGAGACAAACATCACTGCATTAGCCACTCTTCAAATGATTTTCCATCTCCAACATTTATATTGCACATAGCTTTGCACTGCATAAACTCAAACTCATTTCTAAGCCCAAGCACTATCATAAGCAGCATACACCAGGAAACAATAGAAAACTACCAAAGAATTGCACTTACAAGTTGACTTTGCAGGGAGAACAACAAAAGCCTTTCTGAAGGTAACCAGGGGAACAAGCTCTTAGTTCTCAAGACAGCTTCCAAATAGCCGTATTTGTTAAGTTTTACAGCTTCTGGAATTGAATATGCTGCCTTACAAAGTACATGCCTTGCACTCCTTCAATGTAACTATGATCCAGGGTGGTTAAGGCTAAATAATACTATCCGAAGAACTCTGCAGAAACATATTCCTTCAGAACAGGCCAACATCTCTGTCTGCGCACATTAATATTAGGTCAAACAAAGCTGAAAAACTGCATTCATAGTCCTCAAGTGCTCCAAGCCCTAGAAGTGTGTTGCTACAATGACATTAGAAACAGGTACCTGATCCTGACATTGAGACATTACAGACAATAACGTTGAAATACTCTTACTAAAATTTCATGCTAGCTACTGAAATCACTCCCACTCTGAAGAGAGATTTGGCTCTCCAGATCTCTCCATTCAGTGTTCCTGCCCCCAAAACACCTTGAAAGCTTCCAAAACCTCTTCTTCCTTCCTCCACTCCCCTGGCCAGTTTCCTTCCTGCTCCTCTTCCAGACTTCTCTCCATGTACATACCAGACCAAACAAGGCAAATGGCATCTTAACTCTCTATACCTGTCATTTCCAGATGAAAACTGTATCAATTCACACAGTGACTATAACCCTTACTCTGATTCAAACACTGCTTCTTTGCATACTTATTGCTGAGGTCAGGCGTATGTAGGACAAGTATTACTGTTCTCTAAACAAAAATTAATTCAGAAGCCAACACTTAAATGAGAATAAGGTTAAAATCTTATTTATATGACAGACTATGTAGAATTTTAACCAAAATACATTTCTACACTTTACGTTAAGCACATGCATTAAAACTTCTATGTGCCATCTTATGCAACAGCATTGTCCAGCCATGTATTGAGAAGACAACCACCACTTCTTTTGGTGTTGCTGGCCCTTTTATTCATAATCATTAAACTCTCATTACTGGACTACTTCTATTACTCCTCCAACAGGAGCAGCTTTTATCTGTCAAGACACAGCCACCATTGAAAAAATGGTAAAAAAAAAGGTAAAAACAGACCAAAAAAAATGGTAAAAGCAGGTAAAAACAGACACTGAAAATTGCAGGTGCTATATGTGGTCCAGGGTTAGGAACAGTTTCCCAAGCACCGTGTTTTAAAATAACTTGTCTTTAGTATACAACAAAATACAAGACCACATAGCCACAAGAGTAACCCTGCTTAAGCCAAATACCACCACAGGAAAAAATATTGCTGTACCATGGGCTGATATAAATACATCAGCATATACATTACTTCTGTCCAGTCACTGAGCAGCAAATGCCAACTCAGCAGCCAAAGCAAACACATTCAATAGAAAAAGCTTATTTCTATAAGCAGGTATCTTACTGGTATTTTTACCTGCAATATGGGTGTTGACTGCTCTTCCAAACAGACAAGGGCACAAAATTCTCCCATCCACAGACCATGACAGACAGCTTATGAAAAAACCTGCCAATTGCCCCTATTTCACCAGTCTCACCATTTCCTGAAGAATCCCTGCAAGTACTTCCAGTAACACAACCAAATTCCAGATGTGAACATCCCTAAAAGCACCAGATATTTAACCCAGTTATTTTATGAAATTATACCAAGTGACATGCTGTAAGCTATGGGAGACACAAACCCATCCTATTCATTCTACACTAAAGAGCAAAAAAGATGCACTGGCTTACTAATGGCAAAGCATTATAAAGCATAACAGAATCTGCCTGTGTCAGTTCTTAGTTTATTTACAACTGACAGAGGTAGATTCATATATGAAGTAGGAAGTAAGCTGAGACTATCTAGCGTTAACAGTTAGAAAAAACATGCTGACTCAATTTACAAATTAAACTGAAGTTACAAAAGACCAAAGACGTATTTCAAAAACCCCTAGGAAATGTCACAGAACATCTGCTAGCGATGCTTCCTGGGCACCAAAACTGAGAAGAATTAAAACAGGGGAAAACACAACAAATGTGATGCGCTGCATGCAGTGCAACCAGAAAAACCCGCAAAACCCCAGAAAGTTTAAGATGAGCACTCAGCTGACTGCTGATGTGATCTCTCATATGCTGTGGACTCTTCTCCCACCTGACTGTATGAAGAGGCCACTGACTTATGCCACTCTCCTCCAGAAAGCCATGCACCCTCATTCAAAGATACCCACAGTGAGCACACGTTTGGCTCTGAATTCATTACCTTGACTGTCTTCCTCTCATCTCTCTAAGTTGTGGGATTCAACTTCCAGGCTTTAGCTCTCACACACTTCTCTGCAAGCGGAGAATCCTTTTTGTTCAAGGCTTTCCCCTTGTAAAGGCACGTACACATCCTGATGTGGCACATCCACATCCTGATGCTTCTCAAGCTCTTTTCTGACCAACTGAGTCAAGTCAGCTTTCATTGTCAGTTTTATTGTTAATTTGAAAGAGAAAAAAAAAAGTTTCTCTACACTCTCCCCATTTCTCAATAGCCTGTAAATACTTTATGAAGTATGGTAGTTCACCACCAGCTCAGTATGCAGTGTGTTAGCACTGCTCTTGCTGTTGCCATATAGGGAAGGAAATAACCAGCTCCACTGCTCCTGCCCCTTCTTCTCATTTAAAAGCCCAAAACTGAATTAGCCTTTTTCACCACAGGGTTGTAATTGAGAGATCATGATCTGTCTCCATTAACCCTCCCACCCCCCAATCCTTATTGTGTCTGCCTCAGCCTGCACTACTGAGCAATTAAAACTGCTCTTCTCAGTCAGCCGCTGCTCATTCTTACCTACTACCCACTACAAATGAGAGCAATGGACAAAGATGTCAGTAATGTGTCATCAGGAATCACAAGAAGCAACAGTATGCTGTTGAAGAGCAGAGAGTTTCAAATTTTGGTATTAAAAGAATAAGTACTGTTGACTTCTCAGTCATGCTCTTCCAAATTTTCTCAGCTTTTCCCAAAAGCTGTTTAATGTTGCCAACTATGTCCATGATTCTGTGATTTTCTGATTATTTTCTGAAGGAGAGTAAAGATAGATGATAATACATAAAAATACCCCACATTGCAGAGCATCTGTGTACCTGCCTCTGGAGTTGTTTTGACACATGCACATCATGCTTTTACTGCAAGTTTTACAAGATATCTGACATCAAATTATAAAACAATGCACACACCTAACCTTTATTTCTCTAAAGCAAATTGATCTGGTTAGCAGCTGTGAAACTTGTTGTATCACATACTAACAGCCGAGAAAATTAAGCATGACCGTTTAATTACAGAGTTCATGCAAAGTCACCCAGCCCTCACCTAGATAATCTGCAGCAGACTACACAGGAGTTCAGTCTTGAATCAATTCAGCATCAACCATCTCACTTGAGTTTGCCAACAGTGGTGTCTATCAACTCTGATTTTAGCAATACATCTGCTGGGACTTGGACTGAAACCAAACCCATTCCATATTGCCATCAAGCAAGCAAGGGATCTAATTATCTGGCAAGACTTCAAATATTAAAATGGAAAGGGTTCTCTATTCCGTTACCAATTCCCCTAGACAGCCATTATCTTATTAAAGGAATGATTTTTAATAAGTAAGATTTGTTAAAGTGGTTTGTGACATTACTGAAGTGGGGAGCAGAAGCTAATTTATAACCTACAAAAACTGTACCAGGTGTCTGCAATATTGGCCATTAACCACAATCCTATTTAAAGCAGCTAAAAACTCACTACAGTTGCATTTCTATAAAATCTGTCAGCTGCTCCTTGAGGAGCTCCAGCCTCAGGTCAACCCTGTAAGACATTTGGCATGTTAGCCAAGTTAGAGCTCATTTTGTTAACTATGATCCCTATATGCACACAGTAAGCTCGCGTAACTTTTTGGCCTGAGCATCTGAAAGATTAAATACTGAGCAGAATGGTATCTGCTACCACTTCCGTCACACCATGCCCAGAGGTCAGCAGGTTTGACGTGGATCAGACTAACAGTAGCACTGGGAAAGACAGTGAGAAAGCACTGAGAAAGACAGAGAGGACTCAAAGACAGCTTGGTAGTGCTACCACTACTGTTACCGCAGTGACATGTTTAGCATCCTGCTCCTGAGACAACACAATCAAAAGGAATAAGTGAGCTAGAACTGACGAGTAAGTGAAGCAGAACCTGCTGTCCTCCCCATAGAAGAGGGGACACTGGCAGCTGTGACGCACAAATCCCCCCTGATGAGCACACGGTAAGCAAAACAATACTTACAAGATTTTCTATGTCTGTTCGTGCCAACACGTATGTCCGTACATTGCCATTTTGATGCAGAAGCATGTATAAAAGAAGAGTTGCTTGATCAGATTTCTGCTGATCACACAAAGCTGTGTATAAACTGTTAAAATTAATCTGGAAAGCGTGTGGATTTGATGATGAAAAAGCAGTGCTATCTGAAATAAAGAATAAAGAAAAAAGTCTTTAACAAATACATTTAACATTCAGCTGTCTGTTTTACAAAAAGCTCTTGGTGAAAAATTTTATACAGACACACTAATAGGGTCTCATGAAGTTCTGTTTGTGCCAAAATGCTAAATTTGCTGTCCCGTATGAGCTCAATTAGCACCCCTTTACCTGCACAAGAGACTCATCTTCTTTCATAAAGCAATTCTGTTCTTCCAAATGGCTTCCTTCGTTAGAAAGCAATCCCAAGAGCTGCCTCAAGAAGGGCAGCCACGGTGTCTTCTCTGGAACCAAGGGACTGATCCACTAGAGCAGCTCGCTCCAAGCCCCTGTGTCCAACCTGGCCTTGAACACTGCCAGGGATGGGACACCCAGTGTCCCAGCACCCTGATGCTGACTCAAACCCTGCACCCCAAATTTCCAGGTTTTGCTCAGTGGCATCAAGGTGGAGGATCTCCTTGCCATTTCTTGGCATGAAGGGCATGCCAAGGCTACACAGATCAAGGCTATCAGTATATGTCAGTGAAACACAGGTATTGTCAGGACTTCAAAGAAGCGTGTGTGGTGGGAAGTCATGGGTTAAGTGATTTAAAACGCCACACCACATAGTCTAACACCCCTCAATGTAACAGCAGTTTGTTCATGTTCACAATGTAATCTGTGCCAGAGCTGGAAATGAGAATAAAACATATTTCTGTTCACAGAAGCCTTTCACAGGAAGCTTTACCAATTTCAATAAAAATGTCCATCAGCACAGAACTCTAACATCTAGCAATTTCCAGTGGAAATGGAAAAAACTAGAATGACAGTCGATGCACTCATACACGTGTCAGAAAGCCAGGCTCCTGTCCTCATTCAGCCTCCCAGTCTTCCCCAGTCAGAAATGTTGCCTTTGCTTTCCTAATAAAACAGAAAAACACCCACCCAAACCTCTGAGAGTACAAGGGTTTGTTCCAGTGCAGAGCAGGTACATTCCTCAGCTCTCAAAAAGCTTCACAGAAATTTATAGAAAGCATTTTCCTCTCCAGCTCGTTTAAAAAACATCCAACCAAAACATGTATTGTCTGAGATGATACATGAAGTAGGACATTTATGCCCTTATGGGCTGATTTATTTCAGCATCCTGGCAACTGAATATGAGTCTATCTTTTCTGAGTATACAAATAAGCTGCACATAGGGAAAATTTACAGCAATTTCATGGCAAGATGATATTCTGGGAACAATAGCACAGATTTTCAAGTATACTGAAGACGTAGACCTAAAAATTTCCATGTTACTATGAGCAACTTCCAAAGTTAAAGAATTTAACTAAAATTCCTTAGTTCCCACTGTAACAGACTACAGATTTCTGAATTGTTTATCATTTATTAAAAGTGCATTAACTTAGGGAAGTGCATAAACTTAGGGAAGTGTGACAATACTCCTCCTCCTCCTGCACCGTTATCTGTGGACAGAAGGGATCTTAAGGAGAGGAAGGAAAGACTCAGATGAATGAAGGAAAACAACAATGCAAATTTAAAAAGCAGCATTTTTACAAGCTATTTTACAGCCAACAGTATTATGACAGCCGACATAATAGGGAGCAGCACTTGTTTTTCATCCACATCTTCTATTTTCCTCAAATCCTGAAGGATTTCTCAGATGTTACAGAGCGTATCACCACTGATAACAGTGAGAACAGTGTCACCACACGTGTGCCCATGGGAGCAACTGTGAGCCATCACAAATTTGGCTTTTCAAAGAGTATTTCCATGGTTTCTTACCAAACCTTTATACTCTCCTGCAGAAATATCTATACTGTTAGGGACTGACCACAAAAACATTCTTTACCCCCACTGAGATGTGGGTGTCTTGCTTCTGCCTTTCTTTTTAGAGGACTAAAGGTTTCTAATGGCTTTCAGCACGCAAGACTGTGGTAGCTGTCCCTTGTTTTGAACATCTCCACTCTCTTTGGAAGGAAGGGGTGTTGGAAGATCTGCAGGAGCCCCACAGGAGCCTTGGCTCCCTCTGGGTTTCTGAGGGCCTGCTGGAGACAGCATGCCAGGCAGCCACTGCTTCTCTTGGCCTGGGCGAGGGGTGACAGCTCCAGCCATTCAGCTGCACTCAGCAGGAGGCTCTAGAGCAAACCCTCCTCCTTTCTGCAGGATCTGGGAGGCACTGCCACACACACACAGCTGAGACGCAGCCCATCGGTGGTGGAAACCCTGCCTCTGCCCGAAAACGACGTACCAATGAGGCAGAGGAGAGACCAAACCTTGCGTTCTGAACTACCACTCCTGCCACCACAGCCCCTTCAATCACTCATGGTGATTGTGGACCAACTGATTTAAAAACATCCCACTTCAGGCAAGTATTTCTCTTTTCTAGGGAAAATTTGCATGTAGACATCAATATCAGATGAAGTCAATGTGCTCTCTTAGCAGCAACTTGATGCCATGGTCAGCTAAAGAGTGTTGACTTTCAGGCTTCACTTCTGTGGATGGTTAAATCGTGCCGATTACAATTACAGCTCTTCACTCTGTTTTATTAAAGGAGAGTTACAAAACTAAGAAAAAAACCCTTAGAAGTGTTAAAGAAACTTAGGAGCAACAGCAGCACATCCTGTATTACTCTACAGAACATTACACTGATCAACAGAAAAATTAGATTATTCTAGACCATATAGAATAACAAAAACTATCCTGAATTTTATTACTTTTGTCCCAGTTAAGTTATATATAAACTACTTCATCAAAAAAGCCAGTTTTCATTTTATAGTCACATCTGACAGTAACCAGCCTTCCTTTCTCATATCATTCTCCTCTTACCAGTCCCTCAGAATGTTCACAAGAATCAAATTTAAGCTCATTTATATGAGTGGAAACAAGTTTATGGGAAACAATAAATCATTCTATAAATGTACACATCTAGAGGAAATATGGCTTTTCATGCTGCTTTTGTCATAAAGTTCTTTTAAAATTTTATGATACATGTGTACAGTTATAACAGTTTATAATGATACACGTACAGCAGTGTATAACATTACTAGTTACTGATGAGATGAAACAAAGTCAATCAAAATAAAATATTCATAGAAATTTGCAGTTTAAAAAACAGAACAAGCCAAAACTGTATCATGCATTTCATCTGAAATGCTCAAAATGAGTAAACATTACCCAACATGCCTGAAATTAGTCAACAGGATCTAATAAAGCAAAGCGGCATGTCAGGACTAAGAATTATGATAACAACCCTCCATCCTCATAACCCCAAAACATTTCAGAGGTAAAAGGTGAACGAACGTAGAGCTCACCCTGCTAAAAACTTAATGGTTAAAGGAATATAAAAACTCCCCCAGAATAAAGTGAGTAACTCAGAGGTACTGATGCGGTTCCATAGGCTATCACACAGCACCTGAGCTGTGCCAGGTAGCTCTGTGCATGCTGTCAATCTGCATAAAGCCACGGAAAGGTAAAACATCATGGCTAAAACTTCAAGAGATTGAAGTGTGTGGGTAAGGTATATATGGAAAGCAGCAAAATGCCTGCAAGCTCAGCTATCTAGGTAGTCCAAACTGTGTTACAGCATTACTGTGCCCCAAAAGCAAGACATTCTGCAGCAGGGCACTGTGAGTCAGTAAGCAATACACCTCCAGTGACCCAATACATGGATTGGAACCTGCCTCAAAAACCAGGCAAGTGCTGCAACAACTCTGAAACGTTCCATATATACCAGGAAAGCATTTATACTATCCAGTTTCTCCTCACGTTTGCAATACAAGAATACAGTCAGCAAATCAGATCCATCAGCAATTCAACTGTTTATCTTAGCTCTAAGGAACTTAACCAACTAAACAGTATTTCCCCAAGGGCTATAAAATTTCAGGCAACTCCTGCAGACTCTTGGATAACCAACCTACCTGTAAGCCAGTTTTATTTATATTTTTTGAAATGATGAAGCTTTCTAAGATTTTTCAAGTCTGAAGAAAAGGGCATCCTTCTCTACCCTGTTCCAGCAGCTGAGGAACTCCACCTCAAAACTCCCAGAAAAACAATAATATATAATTACTGCTTTTCCATGGGCTGGCTAAAGAGAGAAAAAGCTTTGGGAAAAGACCCTGTAAGCCACCACAGCAATTTAACACTTCATTTTCATCAGTTCAGGTTAGAGGTAGGAACAGATACAAACCTTGGGTATTCTTGAAGGACATAATAGCTTGCCTGTAGGGATTCGGCGTATCTGGAGCATCGGTGAGATTGGCCAAGACCAGCAGCAGCAGTAGGCTCTGGTTAGCCAGAGGGGAGCACTGCTCCAGCTGGGGCGTTGGTTTGCTGCCCACCCCGCCAAGTGTGAAGACTGTCCACAGGCCAGCTGCAGAGAAAAGGCAGAAAACACTACGTTTGTTCACATTTTAATGAACAAGGCTCCTTCAGAGGAAAGGATGGCATCCGACACACAGGTAGAGAGAGGAGAGGATAAACAATTCACCCCTGTACAAGGAGCTGACAGCTCTGACTGGTTTCTCAAAATGAAAGTTTTGGGAATAACACAGCAGCGGGCACAGAGTAGTGGGAATTTCAAGATTACTGGAAACTCAAGAAAGCTCTTCCCTGTGAGGGTGCTGAGGCGCTGGCACAGGGTGCCCAGAGAAGCTGTGGCTGCCCCATCCCTGGCAGTGCTCAAGGCCAGGTTGGACACAGGGGCTTGGAGCAAGCTGCTCTAGTGGAAGGGGTCCCTGTCTATGGCAGGGGTTGGACCTGGATGCGCTTTAGGGTCCCTTTAACTCAAACTAGTCTGGGGATTCTGTGATATAAAACGAAATCAGGAAAGGTGAAACAAAAGCATATTTTTGAAGGGGAAAACCTTAAACACAGAGCAGATACCAGCCAAAGGATGCATGTAGCAGTCCTAATAATGCTAACACTAAGAGAGGAAAAGAAGCCTGTATGTCACAATTTAATAAAACCAATTCGGTCCATAATACAGCATTCTGTTTTTAATAAACTCAACATATTTTAGGTAAAAACAGTAACAAAATGTAATACTGCTTAAACTAGAATCTCCAGAATGAGAGTCCTATAGAGATCATCATTACTGCTCATTATTGTGGGTAGACAACTTAATAGCAAGTAATAAACCTTCTGGAAAAGAAGACAGGATCAACAGCAATTTAAATTTATATTTTAAGGTATTATTAAACTCAGACTCATATTTTTGCATTCCTACAGAAGATGAAACAACTTGAAAAAGCACTCCAGTCAGAAGTACTTACACTGCTCAGAAATTCCTTTTGAAGAGTGCATGTAAGATGTTAAGGTATGGATGTATAAAGGGTTTACAATAATTTGAAAGTCCAGTTAACAAGAAATAGAAGTCTGAAGTGGCAAATTGCTATTTGTGAAAAAAAACACACCAAAACCAGTCAAAAAAACAAGACTGATTCCTTTTGGGTAAGCAAGCTCTTGCTGCCTCTAAAAACTGCCTCGAAAATACACATGCGACAAAGTACAAAAACTTAATTCATTTTAAACCCTCAAAATTTATTAGGTACATAAATGTAAATAGATCATCACTCCACACCAATTCACAGTTCTTTGCTCATGGTCTACAATAAGAATCCATGTTAGCAAACCCTCAAAATTTATTAGGTACATAAATGTAAATAGATCATCACTCCACACCAATTCACAGTTCTTTGCTCATGGTCTACAATAAGAATCCATGTTAGCAAACCCTCAAAATTTATTAGGTACATAAATGTAAATAGATCATCACACCAATTCACAGTTCTTTGCTCATGGTCTACAATAAGAATCCATATTAGCATACCCTCCCCTTTTTCTATATGTGTATACATGGTGGCTATACAGTATTAAGGCATAATGCCAGTAAAAAGAACCTGAAGGCTGCTTGTTAAAACTTTCATTATCATGCTGCTTGAACTTTGATGTTTGAGCCTGAAATGCAGAGCCATTTTCATATTTAGTTCTTAAAACATTAAAAAGAATTAACTTCAATACTAAACTACCATATTTGGAAATCCTGTTCCTAATTACAGCAGTGTTGATGAACCAAGCTGACCGGTTACATGCCAAAATACTAAAGCGGAGATGCTGCAGATTCTGGGGGAAAAGTCAGGTCAAAGGATGAAATTCCCCCCCCCCCCTTGCCATGGTGATACATGGTAAGTTCAATGTCACTGTGCATCTACCCTTATCACATCTGGACTCCTGATACATTCCAAGGTGATAAGAAACATCCCCTCTTGACGACATTGACCCCCAAATGCCTGCTTAGAAGGGGTTATTTCTGAATGTATCTTGATATTTCATTCCAGAGACTGAGCATTTAGCTGAATTATTCATGTAATAGGTCACAGTCTTGAATTATACAGCAAAAAAAAGGAATAATCTCAACTTAAAATTCCTGTTCCTTTTTTTCAACACTATCTAAATGAAAAATTAATTATAACACGCTTTTTAATGAAGACAGAAAAATTAAGAAAGTTTAGTTTTCAGTCTTGTGTCTGAAATTTAGTCTGCCAGATTCAAGGCACAAAGGATAAAAACCTGTAAGCCATTTGAATGAAAAAGCTAAGCACAGTACAACCAATTAAAAGAACTTGAAGTACTCATAGTCCTGCACAATGAAAGCCAGGCAAAGAGTATTTTTCTTCAAACATAATTATATACAGTCAGATTTAGTAATAAACCAACACTCCATCATCACAATTGCAAGGCAATTACTGCCATGTCAAGGGCAGGGGAACTAATGCCATTCAGTACTAAGCAGCTTGAAGGAGTTCTTATAATAAAAAGCACTATAATTACAGCCTTCCTAGCAAAAAACTCATGTTACATTAATAATCCCATATCACTGTGTTTTTGATCCAGTGTCCTTAAATCAGAAAGAAGCTGAATAAAAATTATGACCACGAAGTTAGCTTTTAGACCCACATGAGTTACGCAGATAGGTAACACGGAAAGAAATCATTCATATATATATTTACCATCATGTTTGTTAAATTAATTCAAATTTGGCACATTTGCTTTCTTAAAGTTTAGTGTACTTCTCATTTTTAATTTTTCCACCACCCCACCCTTCTGAGGCTGGCATCTGCCATTACTACACCTTTCCTCAACAGCTAGGAAAAGACAGATATGGCCAAAATACTGGTGAGTAAGTTCAGTCTTCCAGTAGGGAGAATGAGGTAATTATGTCCAAGAGAAATCTGCACATTGATATATGACCCAAGTAATCTCCTGAAGTTCCATCTCTTGCTGGCAAATGTATTCCTGCAGAAAAGCAATCCCAGGCTAACATGTTTGTAATAATCCTTTCAGTTCCAAAATGCAATGCCATGTTAGGTGCTACGTATCAGCTGGTGCTCCCAACTTACTCAAGTTGAGAAATTCCTAAGGAAAATATCATTTCTGATCATTAACAGCAGATTGAAATGCTATTTAGTTAAATAGCTAAAGAGCTTGAGAGGACAGCAAGACCAGAATTCTGTGTTCGGGCTGTATTCTGCATGTTTGCAGTATTTTGAGTCTCAGTTTCCTACATGTGGTTTTATATTTATGAATATTTCAGTATTACTAAGCTGTATTTCAGGGGCTTTAGGAAGCAAACAAAAAATAATTTATATTGCAGCCCCTCAGAAGTTCTCCTCATTATATTTTTTTCAGATCTGATATTAGGGTTAACAGAAAACGTATGAAGAATATCCACTGATACAAAACAAGTATCCAGAATCACATTTCAGATTCTGCTTCCTGAGAACACCCTGTGATGGTGATGTTCTCAAGCAGCAGAAGAAAAAACAAACAAATAAACAAACAAATAAAAATCTCCAAAAATCCCACCCCAGAATAAAAGGAAGAAAATGCAATTTTTGAAATTCCTGTTTTAAGCCATGGGTAGCTGTGACTATACTAGTGCTGCCTGGTATCATTAAAAGCATGGAATGAAATTTGCTCAGACACTTCAACACATAGTGCTTGATTATTCTTCACATTTAAATTTCACTTTCAATTTCCTATTCTCTTGTCATTTTAATACATATCCCCAGGGAAATGTAAATTACAAAAGTTTTCTTAAAGCTTTCTATGTCTCTGAGCTACGACTCTAAACTGGTGAAGTGAAAAGGATGAAGGGGGTGACTTACCTGCAATAGCATCAAGACCCAAAGTACTACTGAAGGTCTAGAAACTCTTGGACAGGTTTTGCATTACCTAACATTACCTTTTTGCTGCTAATTACAAGCCTGATGAAGTTAATTACCCGTAATTCTAAAAGAGTCTCTTCAGCATTGTTGTGGTTTCAGCCAGCAGGCAGCTGAACACTACACAGCCACTCACTTGCTCCCCACCAACTGGGACTGGGGAGAGAACTGGGGAAAAAAAGGTAAAATCTGTGGGTTGAAATAAAGACAGTTTAATAGGACAGAAAAGGAATGGAGAGTAATAGTAATAATGGTAAAAGAATACACCAAATAAGTGATGCACAATGCCACTGTTCACCACACGCTGATGCCAAGCCAGACCCCAAGCAGCAGCCACTGCCCTCTGGCCCCCATTTCTTTTGCATTCAGCATGACATTATAGGGTATGGAATGTACCATACAGCATGGAATATTCCTCTGGGGACTTGGGGTCACCCATCCTGGATGTGTCCCCCCTCCCAGCTTCTTGTGTCCCCCAGCCTCCTCACTGGTATGCAAAGCTGACAAGACCTTGACTTACTGTACGCACTGGACAGCTGAAACATTGAGATAACAACATTATCAACATTATTCACCATCCTAAATCCAAAACACAGCACTACACAATATTAACTCTACCCCAGCCAAAACCAGTACAAACATTTATGTATTTGGATCACTTATTTCATCTATGCAATTTACTGTTTCTGTAAAACCTATTTTTAATTGTAATTCTCTAATATAACTTTATTTCTCAACTCAGAATCACACTACCAGTTTTTTTGTTGATTAACGTTTAACATTCAAGTAACATTTTGACAATTATTTCTGGCAAGTACACAGATACTTTGAGAAGAAACAGTCTGCTTTTACCTTTAAAACAAAATTGGGAGATGCAGTTTTCTCTTCCACAAAACCACCCATAGCAGCTTCTTTTTTTCCCAAATTCATATAATTATGAGTAAGGCATGGAGGAAAAGCAGGTCTTGCTTAAGAGCACGTATGGGGGGTTTTCCAGTAGAGAACCTGAGGTCTCCTGTAAGATGGCTAGAAACAGTGTTCACAGCCATGAAAACAAGCCCAGGACTTTAATCTAGTCTGACAGTCTGTGGAACAACACTTAATGGCAAAATGAAGTTTTGACACATTTGTCAAAAAAGAACTTTCT